TCACAGCTGCTCTAAATGTAATTAGTTTTTGCTCTGAACTTGTTTGCTTTGCCGGGATTATGGCGCAATCCAGCCCGGCACTAACCTGGAAGAGGCTGCAATGACTCCAGGGAAGCGGATGCTGGGTCAGTGTGATGATTCCAAAGGTTTGGCTTTCAATTACATTGAACGTCTTCAGTCGGGAACAGTTTCATTAGGAGCAGGCAGAGGAGGGATGGGACAGGCAGGATGATGCTCCAAGCCGCTGGCGGACACAGGGCTGGGACCTGCCACTGTGCCCCTGCTCTGGTTGCTCTGCCTGGGCACAGAGGACGGATGGATGGATGGATGGATGGATGGATGGATGGATGGATGGATGGATGGATGGATGGATGGATGGATGGAGGGATGGATGGGTGGATGGATGGGTGAATGGATCCCTTCATCCCCATCTCAGAGCAGAGATGGATGGAATGGGGGTCCTATCTGTGCAGTATCATGTCCCCATCCCCTGCCCATCTCCCCTCCAGCACCACGGCCCCAGGCAGGTGTTTTGGGGGTGTTGGGTCCCCTCCATCCCACCACTGCACACCAGAGGCATCGCCGGTGCTCGGAGCTGTCAGGATCCACCCAAAGCAGATGGGATCCAGGGGCTGGGGCCACGGGAGGGGGCCGGGTGCTCCTGCTGCCCGGCACAGACCTCCAGCGAGCCCAGTCGAGCCGGAGCTGCCAAGAGAAATGGGCAGATTATGGGATGAACACAGGCCAAGGCAGGGCTGGGATGCAGCCGCCGTAAATCAGCTTTTAAGTAGCAACAAAATGGACATTTCCCATATGAACCGAGCCACCGCCTGGCACCGAGCGGGGGGAGAAGGAGCCCAGGCAGGGCCCGGGCCTGGGGGCACCGAGTTAGGGGGTCACAGAGGGGAGCCCGGGGCTGCGGGGGGCTGCGGGGATGGGGCTGGAGCCCAGGATGGGGGTCACAGGGAAAGGGGAAGGGAAGGGAAGGGAAGGGAAGGGAAGGGAAGGGAAGGGAAGGGAAGGGAAGGGAAGGGAAGGGAAGGGAAGGGAAGGGAAGGGAAGGGAAGGGGCTGTCTCAGGGTGCTCAGGTGGGCACCACCTGCTCTCCACTGCTCCTAGCCAGTGCTGGCCCTGCATTTCCCACTGGAACCAGCCTTTCCCACTGCCCCTGTGTGGGGTTTGCCCCTTTTCTCCCTGGGCAGGGCTGGGGGAGGGACACGGGACAGGTTCCTCCCTTTCCAAAGGGCTCTGGGATCCCGGATGCCCCCAGCCCTGGGTGACCCCTTCCCCTGGGTACAACTCGCCCGCCTCCCATCCCATCCTAGGTCCTAGGGGACCCCCAGGGCATCTCCCACGGCTACTGCCCGGCTGTGGGGATAGGAACAGAGCCCTCGGTGTGGCAGGGGGTGAAGACGGGGCAGGAGAGGACACAACCGAGGTACGGCCACGCCACGGAGCACAGGGACACGGTGGGGACACTGCCTTGGGGGGCTGCACACACAACCCCATGGGGGGCTGAGCATTCCCCCCCCCCCCAACCCAACCCATCCGGGCCGAGCCCCCTGTTCCGGGCCGGGCTGCGGGGCTGGGGATGCGAGGGCCGGGGCGGCGGTGCCGCATTCCGGAGAAGCGGCTTTGCCGGCGGCCGGTGCCAGCAGGCGTTGGCAGGTTTGGAGCCTCGCAACGATTCCAGGCACAGATGTCCTTGTTTTAACTCCTCTGCGATGGAGCCTGGCAGGCCGGGCGGGGGAGGGGGCGGCTCGGCAGCCCCCCGGTGCGGCGGGGACCGCTGCCAGCCCCGGCCGCGGCTTCGGGGACCCCCCCCCCCCCGCCCCCCTCACCCTTCCCTCTCCAACCGGCCGGGATCCCGGTGTCCCCATGGTACGGAGCCAGGGGCAGCACCCCCCATCCTCATCCCGACCCCTTACCCCCGACCCCCGGGCAGCCCCCGAAAAGGAGCCTCCTCCGCAGCGCCGGCGATCGCCCAGCGCCGGGAGCCTCCGGGTTTTTTTATGGTAGCTGCAATTTTGGCAGAAATCTGTCTTTAATTTAGCTGTCCATATAAAAATCCGCACTGTATAATAATGAACAGATGCCATGAAATTTAAACTGAAGCAATGACTCCTCCTTCCCCCCCCCCCCCTCCTCTCCGGCTGGCACTCGCCGGTGGCAGCGGCGACCCGGAGCTGGCGCTGGCCCCGCGCCCCTGCCGCGCTCCTCCGCGCAGGGAGAGGGAAAGGGACGAGGGCACCGGGGGGCACTGGGGGTAACTGGAAGGGGGGGGGGAATCCACCCCCATCTCATCCTGCCTTGGAATAACGGCGCTGAGCCCCGAGAGCCGCCTCTGCGGGGTCTCCACCGCTGCTGGCCCCTCTCCCGTCCCCCCGTCAAGCAGTGCGGGGTCCCCCGGTAACATCACCAGCACCCCGGCCCCGACGGGGTTTTGATCCCACCATCATGCAGAGCCCCGTGGGTTGCGGCGGCAGCTCCCGACCTCCCGCCTCGGGAGCCGCTGGCGGCCGCCGCTCAGCACCGGAACCTGGCACCGAAGCCTTGTACCGGAGCCGTGCACCGGAGCTTTGCATCGGGGCTGTGCACCGAGCGCGGGGCCGCATTGCGGGGCCATGCCGGAGCACCGGGCGGGTTCCCGCATCCCCTCGCTCGATCCGCTCCCCTCTGCCGGGGCAGCCACCCTTCGCCGCCGCAGCTCTGGGCCGCGGCCCCGGTGCCGCCGCCGGCGGGTGATGGGAGAAGGGCCTCGATCTCCCTGCCCGTCGCCCCTGCCACGGCCCTGGGGCTCGTTCCCCCGGAGAAGCGAGGCCCTCCCCGGTGCCGTCGGAAGAGGCTCCGCTCCTCCACGGGGAACGGCGACCACCGGGGACCGGTCCTCGGGGCTCGGAGAGCCCCGGGGCAGCGGCTCGGTCGGGGCCGGTTGAACCCGCTCAGCTGCCTGGGCCCGGTGCCTCGCCTCTCCCTTCCCCAGCACGTCGGGGCCGCACTGGAGCCGTTCCCCGTTTCCAGCCCCGGCGGTGCCGGCCCCGGGCCTGGCCGGGCTGGAGGCGAGTTCCCGGCCCGACCCCAAATCTGCCCCAAAACCTGCGGGTCTGTGGGACCGGGAGGAAAGCGGGGCCGTCGGGGGGTGATGAGCCCCGGTGGCGCGGACGGTAAACGGAGCTGGGGAGGCGGCGGGGCCCAGGCACTCGTTCAGCACCGCCGCAGCGGACAGCTCCGCACCGGGCACCGGCTCCGTCGGGCACCGGCACCGGGACCTGGCACCGCAGCGGGGTTCCCTCGGGGCTCCATCGGGCACCGGCTCCGGGAGCCGACCAGGTACAGGGGCCGCCACAGAAGAACCCGGCCTTGGCCGCCGCCGCCGAAGCCACCAGCACCGCGGCCCGGTGCCAGCTCCGGGCATCACTCTCCAAGCTCCATCTCCCGGGGGACCGGAGCCGTGTCACGGCCGCTGGCTGCGGACCGGGACCGAGCCGGGCCGCGGCTCCAGATCCCGGTGCCTTTATTGGCGGGGAGGTGGTGGGGGGGACGGGACACCGCCTCCCCCGGTCCCGGGGGGGGACACCCATGGGGCAGCGCCGCGTTATATCAGCGCCGCCCCACCGACGGCCGCGCACTCGGGGCGGTGGGAGCGGCGGAGGCACCGGGGGCACGGCGGAGGGGGTCGGGCCGGTGCCCCCGGTGCCCGGTGAGGAAGGAAAGCGGCGAAGGCGGCGGAGTCAACATTGAGTATTTATTAATCGCCGTCGAAGGACGCTCGGTAATTACAGGGTTCGCCGCGAATCGCCCCGGCGGAGGCGGCTCGTTACGGCCGGAGAGTCCTGGCGGGGCCGCCCCGGCGGGGACCGGGCTGCGGTGGGGCCGGTGCATGCAGAAAGGCCGGGCCCCCCCCACAGCCCGGTCCCCGGTTCCCCGGCAGTGTCCGCGGCTCCCGGCGCGGGGGCTGGGGGGGGTGTCTTGCATATCGTTGGCCATAAATATTTATTAATCGAAATGAAACGGAACAGAAACACGAAAGCACTTCTGGTGTCGGGCAGGCGGGTCCCCTTTGCTACACGGTTTGTGGTGGGTTCGTTTTGCTTTTCTTTTTTTGTTTCTTTTTTTCCCTTTTTTTCTTTTTTTTTTGCAAAACTTTTTGGGGTTTTTTTTGTTTGTTTTTCAGATTTTTCTCTTTTTTTTTTTCCGTTTTCTTTTCCGTTTTTTTTTTCGTTTCAAAAACGTTTTCTCAGAAATCCTCCTCCTCCTCCTCCCTGGGCTCTATTAAATGCTGGTTTCTCGAAGGGGGTGCGGGGAGGGTCCAATAAGAAAACCACCCCCCCCCAAAAAAAAACCAAGATCGATAAAAGAAGACAAAAAAAGAAAGAAAGAAGGAAAATCAAAGCCGTTTCTCGGCCTTCCGGTCGCTCCAACCGGAGGAATGCGGCAAAGTGGAGCGGAGCGAAACACGGGGCCGGGGCGGGTGCCGCGGAGGTGGGGGGGGAGGGCTCAGTCCCGCTTCCCCCCTCCCCTCCCGGAGCCCCGCTTGCATAGAACCGGGGTGCTCCGCAGGGCTGGGGGGGGGGGGGGGGGGGTGTCGCTTCATTTTTTTTTCATGATGATTATTATTATTTTTCCTCTTTTTTTTTCCCCATTTTTTTTTTGTCTTTTCCTCTTTTTTTTTAGTTTTTTTTTTCCTTTTTTTTTTTTTTGTCATTTTCCGTTTCAAGTTTTTGAAAACAGGTAGAAAACGTCCTGACACACGCGCTGCGAGAGGAGCTCCCGGGGTGGGGAGCGGGGCCGGGGCCCCCCCAAAGCAAAGTGCATCTCTGAGCGTCCGCCGGGCCGGGCCCGCTTGCATAGATAGAAATGTGGGTTCCTCCCTTCGCCTCTTTATTGCTTCGGAAAGTTGCGCTCCGCGCCGCAGCGCGGCTCCTCTCGCTCCCGCGGGTGTCCAATACCGGGGGGGGGGGGGGGTATGTGTGTGTTGTGTTTTAGGGGCCGGGGGGGGGGTGGCGGCAGTGGAGGAGGGGGGGGAGAACGGCCCAAAATGAAGGGGAAAAGGGAGGAAAAAGATCGAGCTCAAATGAAATGAAAACGAATTCAGAAGGAAACGACGCGGCTCGAGCCAAAGGGCCGAAGGGGGGAGCCCGGGGGGGCTCCGGAGGGTGAACGGGGGAGGCCGGGGCAGCGCTGGGGGCCTCCCCTCCGGGAAATTAATAATAATAATAATAGTAATAATAATAGTAATAATAATAGCAATAATAATAATAAATGTAATCGTTTAACTACGTAAATAATAAATTAAGTAAATCATAATATGACCAAATAAATAGCCATTTAAGCAAAGAAAGAATTCTTCGAGTTAAGAAATAATAATTTAACTTAAGAAATAATAATTTAACTTGTTAATTCATTAACTTAGTAAGTAAGAATTCAACGTAATAAATAGTAATTTAACTGAATTCTTGAAATCAAAAAGGATTTACCTGAATAAAGAAGTCGCTCACTAACTCAATAATTACTGAACTGACTGGCTAGTGGTAGTTTGACTCAATAAATAACACTGATCATGTAACTAACGGGTAGATAAGAGCAAGAATAGAAGGAAAAGGGGAAATCCTCCCAAAAAAGCACTTTGTCCCCGCGGGGCGCGGGGTCCCGGTCCCCGTATTGCACCAAAGCCCACGGAGGAGCCCCGGGGGCCGCTCCGCGGGGGCCGCCGCCGTTGCCTCCTACCCCCCCCCCCCCCCCCCCCCCCCCCAAAATCATTCCGGGGGGGGGGTGGGTTGGTTCCCCGCTATCACCGGGGGGGGGTTGGGGGTCAGTTGTGGAAGAAGGCGTTGAGCTCCTCGTACATGGGGCCCCGCTCGTGCGGGAGGTGCATGTCGTAGGGGAAGATGTTCTCGGAGTGGACCCCCCCGCGTACCCCCGTGGAGCCGAAGACCAGGTTGTGGCCGGCGGGCCGGGAGCCGGGCAGCGCCGAGTAGTGCATAGAGTAGTGGTAGCTTTTCTCGTGGTCGGGGGAGGAAGAGTCCTGCTTGAGGGAGAAGTTGCCGTTGATGCAGAGCGGGGGGCTGAGCCCGCCGTCGTACTCCGAGCTGTTGTAGTCGGGGGACGCGTTCCCGTAGAGGCTCTCATAGGCGGAGGCGCAGTAGCCGTGTGTCCGCAGCCCGTGGGCACCGGGACCGGCGGCGGGCGGGCACTGCGCCGCGGCCAGCCGCGAGCAGGGGTAAGGGTAAGGGTGCACGGCGAAGGAGGCGCTGGGGCCGTGGAACCGGCCGCCCTCGGGGCCCTGCTCCGTTAGGAAGTTGCGGGAATTGAGCTGCAGGCACCCGGCCACCAGGTTGGTGGTGGGTTGCGAGAGCCCCTTGCACAGAGTCTGCACGTAGGAGACCAGGTCGGGCCGCTTGCCCGAGCGAAGGATCTCAGACAGAGCCCAGATGTAGTTCTTGGCTAAGCGGAGGGTCTCGATTTTGGAGAGCTTTTGGGTTTTGGAGTAGCAGGGCACAACCTTCCGCAGGTTGTCCAGGGCCGCGTTCAGGTCGTGCATTCGGTTCCTCTCCCGAGCGTTCGCCTTCTGCCGCCGCAGCTTGGAGCGTTCCAGACGCGCCTTGGTCATCTTGCGCTTCTTGGGGCCGCGCTTCTTGGGCCGCTCGCCCTCCGCCTCCTCCAAACCTTCCTCCTCCTCCTCCTCCTCCTCCTCGTCCCCGCCTAGCTCCCCTTCCTCCTTGCTCTCCCCCTCGGGCGGCTCCTCGGGGAGGACGCAGCCCTTCCCCGCCCGCTCCTCCTTCTCGCTGCGGGCATCGTCCTCGCACTCCTCGGCCCAGCCGCCGAATTTCGGGACCTCGGGGACCAGGCTGGGCTCGCTGAAAAGTCGCGTCAGCATCGTGGCTGCAACGGGGGGCAAAGAGCCAGGCGTTACCGGCTGCCCGCCGCCCCCCACCCCGGCCCCCCACCCGCCCCCCCCCCCCCCCAATCCCCATCCCCGCCGCTCCCCGGCCGCCGATAACGAATGAAGCGCGGGTCCGCTCGCCGCCGCCTCCCGCACCGGCCGACCCGCACCGGGGGCACCGGGACTCCCTCGGGGCGCGGCCATGCGGCCCCCCCCGACACCGCTTCCACCCTCCTCCGGGCTCCCCTCGGCCGCCGCCCGGCTGCCCCGCTCCGGCGCCCGCCGCGGCGGCCCCCACCCGGCCTCGACCCTGTCGGTGCCCCCTCCCGCACCTCGCCCCGGTGGTCCGCGGCCCGGGCCCGGTGCCACCGGCCCCTCTTTGACGCCTCCAACTTTTCCCCTCCGCGGGCGCGGAGCGGCCTCAGCCGCGGCTCCGCCACCGACGTCCCGGGGCCGGGGGGGGGTCGAGGCGCAGCCGCTGCCGCCCCCTCCCCTCTGCCCCCCATTGCCCCCCCCCCCCCCCTCCAGCCCCGTCAGCCCCGCCCGGGGCCCCGTAGCCCCGGGGCTCCCCCGGCCACCGGAGCGCGGCCCGGGAAATGCGGCGGCATCAACCGGCGGGGGGCGGCGGGGGCGGCGGCGGCGGCCGAGCCCCCCCCTCCCTTTCTTCCCGGGGGCAGCGCGGGGGGTCCCGGGCGGCGGCGCTACCGGGGCCGCCCCTGGTGCCGGCCGGGGCGGCGGGGCCGGGGCCGGGGTGGGGGGGGAGGGCACCGCCCGGGGCGGGGGCCGGGGGCTTGGCGGGGGAGCGGGAGGGGGGGCTCGGCCAGGTCGGAGCCCCCGGGGGCGGCGGCGCGGCGGCTCCGCGCTGATTTCGTTGATGCCGCTCGGCCAACGCTGCCCGCTCCGTCCCGCCGGGACCGCGCCGCCCCGGGCGCGCCCAGCCGCGGGTTGGGGGGGGTGAAAGCGGGGTGGGGGGCGGCGAACCCCAAACCCCAACAACCCCTCCCTAAGGGGGGGGGGGAGGTCGCTCCCGGGGGGAGAGGGAAAACCCCATCGGTGGGGAACGGGAGAAGCGAGGGCCGGGGAAGAACGAAAGCCGGGTGAAAAAAGGGCGAGACGCGGCGGAGAAACCAAATCAACATGGAAGTTGCCTTTTCTCCATTCAAGTTTCCTCCGCTGCCCTCCCAGCCCTCCACTTCTTTACATAACTCACCTTCGGGCGGACCGCAGGAATTCTTATTTCATTGTTCCCAGCATCTTCTGGGACCGGGACGCGGCTCCTTGAGGTGCTCCAGCCTCCTGCAGTCCTCTATCCAAAAGGAGGCGAGAGTGGCATCTCTACCCAGCAAAGGGGGTACCAGCTCTGCTGCCAGTGCCATATGGTTGGCACGTCATGCGCGAGAGCTATCACATGAGAGCTAATGATTGACATGCGCTTGCATTCAGGGAGATTTGTCTCTCTGGGGAAGGAGGACTCGCCATCTGTCACTCTGTACTCCAAAAAAAAAACCCAGGGAAAAGGGAAAAGAAAAAAAAAAAAAAACAAAAAAAAAAAAACCCTTTTCCAAATCTCCAGCTCTGCCTACACGCTGCAAAATGGGACCCGGGCGAGATGCAGGCGATGGCGGGGCCGGCAGGAACAATGGAGCCAGCACCAGGGCGGTGGGGAAACCGGCTATCCCGAGCGTGTTAGGGGCAGCCGGCGGACACCGGGGCGAGGGGGGAGCCGCCGTGGGGACCCTCGGTGGGAGCTGGCATCTGCGGCTCCATCCCCACCCTCAGCCACCAGCAGAGCCGGGGATGGCTGCGGTGGTGAGGGCCTGGTGCGGGCAGGAGGCTGTGGATGGGGACGTGGTGGTGGCCGTGCCCGGTGCGGTGCAGGAAGGGGGCTGTGGGTGCGGGTGTGGGCAGTGCTGGTAGGTGCGGAGCTATGGGTCACCAGCCTGGTGGGTGGCACACGGCCTCTGCCTGCTGCCCTACATCCCCTCGGCCGCATGGTCGTGCCAGCCTCTCCCTGCAGCCCCACGGCACAGCCCGGAGCGCGCAGACCTCCATCACGCTCCTCCGTGCACACACAGACACGTGCACACGTGCGCACCCTTGCACAAGCACGGCCTCCCCGGTGAGCACGGTGCCCATGCCCCCCATTGACACAGGTCTCACGGTGGCCATGGTGGAGGCCTGGCCATGCCATGGTGCAGCCGGCGAGGCCTTTGTGTGCTGGGGGCCTCCTCACCAGCCTGGCAGTGCCCTGTCACCCCCCGGCCTCCCAGTCTGTCCCCACCATGGTGTGTGTGCAACCAGAAATCACCACTGCTGTTTCGGTGTGCAGCACCAGGGCCAAGGAACCCCTTACGGGTGTGTTGTGTCCCTGAGAGCTGGATCCCATCACCCGGTGCCCTGCTCCTGGCTGCGGGATGTCTCCGTGTCCTGGATCCCTCTGTCCCCACAAGCCCAGGGAAGCAGGACCCAGGGCAGCGGGTGCCACGTGGCACGTGCCGGCCATGCACTGCAGGCGAGGGTGGCACAGCCACGGCGTGGTCATGGTGCCCGCGGTGTCGGTGGCGTCCAGGGCCGTGCCCACGTGCAGACAAAGGGCTGGCGGTGCCGGGTCTGTGCCAGCGGCGTCGGCATCACCCACTCCCCCAGTGCAGGTGCCGGTGCTGGCACGTGACAGAGGGGCCTCCACCGGCGTCCCCCCCCAAAACCCTCCGACTGTCACTCATGGCTGCGGCCGAGCAGATGGCACCGGAGCTGAAGCCGGCCTGCGGGGAGGCAGAGCCCACCCCAGCCATGGCGGTGCCGGTGCCGGTGCCGTGCCAGGCCACCAAAACCTGAGCACCCTCCCTGCACATCGCAGCCCTGATCACCTCCCGCTGTTGTTGCCATCTTCATTTGGCTGCCGGGTGCCAGATGGGCATCGCTGTGCCCCAGGAGCCCAGCCGGTGCCCACCAGTGATGGGTACCACTCTGGGTAAGTCCCTACCACGCTGCCCTCGGCTCCCCCTGGCATGGCTGCACCCTGGCATCAGTGCAGCCAAGCTGATGGTGCCACGGTTCCTGGTACATGGGGCTGCCCCAGGCTGAAATGCCTGTGCTGGCCTCTGCGGGGACAGGGATGGGGACAAGGGGAAGCCACAACCCCCTGGCCCACTGCATCCATTCCAGCCTAATTAGCAGCCGGGGAGCAGAGCGGTGAGGGTGGGCGCCGGTGTGAGGCTCATCAGCATTCACAGCGCTTGGAGGGAGAAGAAAGTGGAGACATGAAACGGGGAGAGGAGATGAAAGGGGAGAGGGGGGGAGATGGAAACCCAAACCAGAGCCTTGTGCCGGGACATAGCCCGCGGGGTGGGCAGGAGTGGGGCGCTTGGTGCCATCCCTGTGCCATTCCCTCAGCCGTGGCTGGTGATGGCACCAGCCCCATCCTGGTGTCCGGGTGCTTTTGGGAGGCGTGTTTAGCCCGGGTGAGGAATGGGGGTCCCATTCAATGGGGCAGTGAGGTTGGGGTGAACCCAGGATGCGGGCAGCAGGGATGGCGGCTGCTGCTTTGGGTGCAGGGGAAGGGTTGGGGGGTCCCTCCTGCTCCAGGAGGTCGGGGCTGGGTGACCCTGGGGCTCCGGTCCCCATCCTGCTGCTGGTTCCCATGCCCAGGAACCGGCTTTCCCGGCACCGCCGCCTCTGGACTCTGCCCACCCCAGCCAGGTCCCCTGGGTCTCGCTGCCCGGCGTTTGGCTGGTGCAGGAAGCTCTTTCCTCCTCCAAAACTCATCCTCCGTGCTCCTTCCCCTCCCTCCAGCAGGAAGGCGATGGACGAATGGGGATGGGGGATCCTGCCTGGAACAGCTCCATCCAGGAGGTGGGTGCCGGTGGGGGGGGGGTGTGGTGGACACGCAGCATCCGGACGGACAGGAGCAGGGTGCTGGGACCCCGCTGGGCACCCCCCGCATGGGGGCCACATCCCCGGGGTGAGCCCAGAGCCCCGCACCGCGGCCGTGGGACTGGGAGCACCCGCTCCGGATCCCGTCCCGTCCCCTCCCGCACCGTGCGGTCCCCGTTCTCCCCCCCTTCCCCGCGGCGGGTCTGAGCCGTGCAGGGCCCGAGTGCGGTGCGAGCGGCGGCGGGGGGGAGGCGGGGGCCGCGGTGCCAGATGGAGCCGGCTCCGCGCTGCAATATTTCTGGGAGGTGAAAGCTGGGGAGAGATGGATGCGAGAACGTGCGGCGGAGCCACCGCCGGGAATGGCAGCGAGGGGAGGAGAGCGGAGGGAGCGGGAGCTGAGGCCGTCCCCATCCCTGTCCGTGGAGCATCACCCCCCCCCCATCACCACCACCACCACCCCTATAGGACTCATCCCTGGTGAGCAGGGGTCCAGGTGTGGTTGGGGGTCTCTGTGGGATGGGGATGGGGTTGTGGGTGCACTGCTGGTTCCTAAAGGGCTTTTCAATAGGGACCAGCGAGGTCATGGGTGGGATGGGGGGGTGGCAGGGGGAAGGTTGGTGGTGGAGGGAAACTGAGGCACAGAGGGAGGGGAAGGGGCATCACCCCCTGCCCCTATAACCGAGGCCTGGCCAAGCGGGTTTTAAGGCACGAGCTGTTCATCGGATAAATTAGATGGGGAATTGTTCAGTGGGAAACTGCTGGAGCCATCGCCCACCGGGCTCCGGCGTGGGGCTGGGGATGGAGGGTCCTGGTGAGGGCACAGGGATGGCCCCAGGGCGCTTGTGCATCTCCCCTCCTGCTCCTTCAGCACCCAGGGGTCACCCTGCCAGGGGCAGGTGCTCCTTGGGGACAATGGAGGGGCTGCAATGGGGTGGGGGGGAGGTCACCATTGTGCCACCATCACAACTGGCTGCTGGTGAGGTAACAAGGCCCCAACGGTGAGGTCACAGCGGGCTATGACATCACAACCGCTGCCCTGTGATATCACAAGGCCTCAGGAGCCCCAGTGTGAGCGCAGCATCCCCACCCAGGCCGGGTCAATGGGGGAGCAGGGGTGGGTTTACAGCCCCACGGTGCCGCCGGCGTGGGCACGGTGTGACTGAAGGAGCACGACTGGCACCGGCCCCCCCGCGGCAGATGGCACATTGTGGGGGGGATGTGGGGGGGGGGGGGATGTGGTGGGATCAGTGTGTGGGGGGGCTGCCTCCATCGTGTTGATGTCCCCAAACCCTCGCAGGGATGCACTGAGTGGCATCAGGCCTCAGCAGGGCAGGTGGGCACGAGGCCACGGGCGAGGGGCTGCTGGAGGGGAGCCGGTGACAAAGGCGAAGGGCAGGATTCAGATTGTGGGGCTGGGGGTGCTGGACCCCCATCCTGAGCAGGCCTTGGGCCACTGGTCCTGGGGACCTGATCCAGCCGGGTGCTGCCATCATGGGGCTCGGTGTGGGGCTCAGCGTGGGGCTCAGCTCGTCCTGCCAGCCCCATGGCAATGGGGGACCCTCGTCACCCAGCACCCTGGGGTCCTTGCCCCTATCTCAGGGTGCCCTGGGGATATTGAGGACCCCCATCCCGCATCCCGAGTGACTTTGGGGCTCATCAGCACCCTGCACCATTGATGGGGAAAGAGGGGCATGGAGAGGATTTGGGGAGCAGGAGGGGGGAGTCTCCATGGTGACAGGGCGCCAATGACGACAGTCGCCATGGCGAGGATGCGTGGCCCAGCCCGTTGCCATGGCAATGCGCCTGGCACAGCGAGTCGCCATGGAGATGGCCGAGGGATGGAGCTGGTCCCTATGGTGGGGACCAGGGCCAGGCCAGGGCTGATGGGGGTCCCTGGGGCTGAGCCCCCCATGTGTGGGGCCTCGCACCCTCCGGGGGCCGCAGGCACCGCGTGCCGCCGCGTGCCCACCATCGCCACCATCGCCACCATCACCACCATCGCCGCCCAGGTTCATTTGCACGAGGCTTTTCCACTCCAGTTCACACTACCATCTGACAAGCCCAACTTCTCATTTTCAGAGTAATCACTCCACTGCACTAATTGCACATGCAAATATGCAAATTCGTATTAATTAATTACTATACTAATTAGTTCTGTGGTATTTGCGAGTAATAAATCATTCGGAGGGAGCGGGAAGCTGGAGACTTGGCCCATTTACACTTCGCATAAAATTTTAATAGGCGCTCGGGCTGATCCGGGACAGCCGCGGTGCCGCGCTTAAAGGCACAGAGCCGGTGTGGCACGGCCTGGCCCCGGGAGCACCGCGAGCACCGGGAGCACCGGGAGCACTGGCCCCAGCGTGCCCCAGTGGGAGAGGGCACGGACAATAGGCAGGGGAAAGGGAAAACGAAGCAGAAAGCAATGGGGAGGAGGAAAGGGGGGCTGTTGCTGATGGTTGCTGTGTCCTCATGGGGAAAGCGAGGCAGGGTCCTCACCGCAGCGCTCACCAGTTGGGTAGGAGGTGAGTGGCCACTTGTGGTATGGGGGGCACCCCTGAGGATGCGGGTGTTGAGGTCACTCATGGGG